GAAATTTTTCAGACATGTTTGAATTAATCTACGTATATCTATAAACATTTCACTAACCCCTGAACCCTGAAAGATATTTTTGTTGTCTTACATACCAAATTCCGAGTTCCGAGTTCCGGGACCCCCGTACCCCCGAAACCCGGCAGTCCACAATTTTGGAGTTCGGGGGTTGGTAAAATGTGTATGGATATATGAAGGGTTGGTTTAAACATTTTAAAAGATGTCTCATATCAAATGTCAAGTCCCAAGTTTCGATTTCTGGGTTTCAAGAGTGCTGAGTCCCGAAGCCCGGAGTCCCGAGACCCAGAGTCCTGAAACCCAGAAATCAAAACTCGGGACTTGACATTTGATATGAGACATCTTTCAGAAATGTTTCAATCAACCTTTCATATATCCATGCACATTTTACCAACCCCTGAACCCCGAAATTGTGGACTGCCAGGTCTCGGGGTTCGGGGGTCCCGGAACTCGGAACTCGGGAAATTTGGGGAGATCAATAAAATTTGATTTACCCATGTTTAAAATATATTTTTGTTCTACATACCGAGTTCCGAGTTCTGGACCCCCGAACCCCGAGACCCGGCAGTCTCGGGTTTCGGGGTTCGGGGGTCCCGGCACTCGGAACTTGGGGAGATTTGGGGAGATCAATAAAATTTGATTTACAATTGAGTTGATTGGCAAACACATTGACTTACCCATGTTTGAAATATATTTTTGTTTACACATACTGAGTTCCGAGTTCCGGGTTCCGGACCTCCGAACCCTGAAACCCGAGACCCGGCAGTCCACAATTCTGGGGTTCGGGGGTTGGTAAAATGTGTATGAATATATGAAAGGTTGAATGAAACATTTTTGAAAGATGTCTCATATCAAATGTCAAATCCCGAGTTTCAACTTCCGGATTTCGGGAGTGCCGAGTCCCGAAACCTGGAGTCTTGAAACCCGAAATTCGAAACTCGGGACTTAACATTTGATATGAGACATCTTTGAAAAATGTTTCATTCAACCTTTCATATATTCATACACATTTTGCCAACCCCTGAACCCCAGAATTGTGGACTGCTGGGTCTCGGGTTTTGGGGTTGGGGGGTCCAGAACTCAGAACTCGGTATGTGTAAACAAAAATATATTTCAAACATGGGTAAGTCAATGTGTTTGTCAATCAACTCAATTGTGAATCAAATTGTATTGATCTCCCCAAATTTCCCCCAAGTTCCGAGTTCCGGACACCCGATACCTGAGACTCAAATTGTATTGATCTCCCCAAATTTTCCCAAGTTCCGAGTTCCGGACACCCGACACCCGAAACCCGGCAGTCTCAGGTCTCGGGTATTGGGTGTCCGGAACTCAGAACTCAGGGGAAATTTGGGGAGATCAATACAATTTAATTTACAATCGAGTTAATTGACAACACATTGACTTAATCATGTTTGCAATATATTTTTGTTTAGACATACCGAGTTCCGAGTTCCAGACACCCGATACCCGATACCCGAGACTGCCGGGTTTCGGGTTTCGGGTGTCCGGAACTCGGAACTCGGAACTTGGGAAAGTTTGGGGAGATCAATACAATTTGATTCACAATCAAGTTGATTGACAAACACATTGACTTAACTATGTTTGCAATATATTTTTGTTTAGACATACCGAGTTCCGGACACCCGATACCCGAGACCCAGCAGTCTTGGGTTTCGGGGTCCGGGGGTCCGGAACTCGGAACTTGGTATGTCTAAACAAAATATATTGCAAACATAGTTAAGTCAATGTGTTTGTCAATCAACTTGATTGTGAATCAAATTGTATTGATCTCCCCAAACTTTCCCAAGTTCCGAGTTCCGGACACCCGACACCCGAAACCCGGCAGTCTCGGGTTTCGGGGTTCGGGTGTCCGGAACTCGGAACTCGGTATGTCTAAACAAAAATATATTGCAAACATGATTAAGTCAATGTGTTGTCAATCAACTCGATTGTAAATTAAATTGTATTGATTTTGGGGTTTGGCACTGAAAATTTGACATATATATTTTTGTGAGTGTTGTGCTTCTAGTGTCCATGCTTAGAAATAGGATATGTTGCACACCAGGGTTCAGGTGTGGGGTTTTTCCACTTCAGTCCTGGATTATTGGTCAATGCCACACATGATCGATTCATGTTTTTGTGCTTAGGGGTTTAAATTTGGTGGTTGATGGTAGGTATATGCACTGATAGTGTACATGTATCCTATGTGTTTGATTCGCTGGTGGCTACATCAGCTGTATGTCTTGATGGAACATATCTAGGCTCACCCATATATGTAATACACCCCTGTCGGCCCGCCCATCTATGTAATACATCCTATGTTGGCCCACCCGTCTATATAATACATCCTACATCGGCCCACCCGTCTATATAATTATACCCCACCTCGGCCCACCTGTCTATGTAATAAATATTTTATAGCACCCTCGGCCCACCGGTCTATTTGATATCTCTTTCGTCGGCCCACCCGTATATGTAATACATTCCACGTCGGCCCACCTGTATATGTAATACACCCTATGTCAGCCCACCCGTCTATGTAATATTCCCCTACCTCAGCCCACCCATATATGTAATACACCCACGTCGGCCCGCCCGTCTATATAACAATATTTGCCTTACATCTCTCTTCAGCCCAGCTGTCTATAATATCCTACTCTACATATTACCCAGATGGGCCCACCCATCTCCATGAATGATCATATTCCCCCGGCCCATCCGTCAACATTAAGGATATATATATCATTGGCATACATGGGCCCACCCGTCTCCATCAGAAATAATATGTGTCCCGGCCCATCCGTCATCATCGAGAATATACACAACATGGGCCCATGATCAGCTGGCCTGTCTCATATGGGATATTATGGAGGTTGGGTGGCCCGTATAATACAGAATTCAAAGTCCTTTGTTGCTTGCCACAGCAATGCTAACCTACACAATCATGGGCTAGATCTGCTCATCTTGCAGGCCAAGATGCACCGTGCTCAAGCTGAGATAATGCTGTATACTCTAGCTCTTGAAAACACCCACACATTCGATTTCTCTGACCACAGTAAGCGCAGACCTACCAGTTCTCCTCCACAACTAATGCCCTTGAAGGTTCACAAACATCCTGGGATCGATATGTCTGATGGCCTATACTATCCGATGAGCTACGCTACTGTGATGTGGATGCTGACAATGACTCTGACCAATTACATCATGACGACTTTGAAGTTTGGTAAAATCAGTTCCAGTCTGGACTTACATCACAGCCCTGTTCTCCAGCTGTTTTGAATTATTCTTTTTTGCTGTATCAATTGTTACTAGCATTGTATCGACACTGTAAAACAGTGTGCTTTTAATATACTATTACTTTGATGGATAAATGCGGACAAAACCATTTTATCTTATGGAATCAAGTTTGCAAGCGGGTCACATGATCAGACCGTTCACATCTGGAATGCAGAGACTGGCAAGCAGCAAACCCAACCACTCATCCATGACAAGCTGGTGTTCTCAATAGTCTGGTCTCCAGTAAGCCTTCTCGCCAAACGGCTAGCTTGTTGCCACAGGCGGTCAGGAAAACACAATCTTTTTGTGGGATATATCTCAGGAGTCCACCATTATGATGAATGCCATGTCATCCTCATTCATTTCCCCAGTGTCCCACATCTCAAGCTACATCGACCAGGTAATAAATCCGTGTCTTGTTTATAGAGCAGTATATCTCATGCAAATATTTTTAAAGCCATCCGCAAACTTCCATTCTCTTCCAGCTTCTTCTGCACCGGCACTGGATGAGCTACCAGATGTGACCAAGTTCACAACAGAACTTGTAGGCTTGCATGATGCTGCTGCCTCACATTCCCCATCTCTGTCTCTTCAAGGTCACTCTGATCATGAAATCCTGTTGATCTTTCCAACAATATTCAAGTACCTCCAGAAACCATCAACTCGTGTGATGCAGCTGCATCCCCTTCCCCATCTCTTCCCCCTCAAAGCTCCTTTTATCCTCGCATAGTGACTTCTTCAGCTTCCACTCCAGTCCTGGCCTTGCCCCCAAAATCATTTTGGAAGCGCTTTCCTATGTTCAATAGGTCTGCAGCATCTGTAGATTCCAAGCGGTGGAAATTCTTGTGCATTGGTAGTATCTGTATGCAACCCTTTACTCTCTGTTGAAGTATGGACATGTTCTGAATATGGTCCCTAGGCAGCGCGAGCATCGGAATGTGGAACAACAAGCAGGTCCTAATGATGCACAACATTAATAGGTTTACGAGCCTGGTTTTTATGTATGTCTTGTCCATGTAAATGTGAATTGGATGAATGAATCATCACAGACTCAGTGACATGCGCAGGAGGTCGCGAAGGAATGCTATAATTGATGTTCATGATCATGCTGTCTCCTCCATCATCAGTCAGCTGGGTTTTGCCTCAGATTCTTAAACCAATCCCTTCCAGCCTCCCCCAAAACCCTTGCCACCTCAACACCATCAATTGAATGTGTCTCCCCTTTAAACCACAACATCTCCACTCTCTTTCCCCTACCCTTGAGCACATGATAAAACCTCGATCTCTGTGCCGGTACCGCACGCAAGTCGTCTTCCCCAATCAACAACAATACAGGCGTGCATACATTATCGACGTGCGCGATAGGCAACATGCAGAAGCCAAGTTTGCAGTAAGTTTTTCTAACGATCAGAAAATATAATATCTACATCTGTTGGGAAAATATAGGCAGTGGGCGAAGACCAATGGCATCACGTCCAAGTTGCTCTTCTGTGTCACGAAACCTTTGTAGGACGACATGATGCTACGATACACCTCCTGAATTCACTCCTGGTCTTCAAATTCAGGATCATATTCACCTGAGCACTCCAGTCAGTTGATTTCAGGAACACACATGACCAACCTACTTCGAGGAGAAGGGGCATCCCATGGGATCTGATGGGGAGAGCAAGTACTGATTCCATGTGATGCGTACTCTTCCAGCACCCCTACTCAATATTTTTCCTCCAGCCAACGAAGTCTGTATTTTGGTATAACTTTTCCAGCCCCAAGCAGTTCTTCTCTATCAGATGCAGTCTCTCTTTGAGCTCAGTCGTAGAGTCCGCCTTGCCTTCGCTGATAACAGGCAGAAGTGGGGACTCGTCATCACGTACTGAGGAACCGCCATCATCAATGTTCGGCTCACTGGTCTATAATTAGCTTTGAGCATGGTTGATGGTGTCGACAGACCTTATACCGGCAAGTTCCTCACTGCTTCTATTAGCACCGCCCACTAACTTGATCCTAGACAAAGGCATCAGTATGTCCCATTGCTAGGTAGGTGCGTCAAGTTTACCACAGGTGCAAGTTGACATTATGTCCTTGCACTTTGAAGTTCTTGCACGAAGATTGTGGCATATTGCACTAGGCAGATGTTTTATCGAGTGGCGAGCCGCAACGAGAAAATGCAAGGCCAGTGGAGCTTTATCTTGATCATGATATGCCACACTTTTTCTAGCCTTCAAATATCAAATTTGCCAGCCTGACTCGGGGTTAACATATTCCAGTAGGCCAGCATACAAGTGGCTGGAGTCACTATGGCCGCTGTTTTGGTCATCATTTATGGCTGCCGATACCATGGCCGCTAGTATCATGGCCGCTGTGCTGACCGGTGGTTTTCATGGGATATTACATAGCATTGTGCCGTGAATAAAAGTTGTGAAGTCCAGGCTACCCTTCCCTTTCCCCCCAGCTTTCATGATCACCCAAGATGCCACCTCCAGTGTCCCGAGCAAATGCAGCTCATCAGCTCTCTAAATGGGGCCTCGAAAAAAGGCATAAGCAGTTCCTAATGTTGACTACAACCTTTACAGACTCATCTTGTCTTCCAGTTCCTCCTCCGACCCACTTGTCTCTCACGGATGCCACTTTGGTCGAACAGTATTCTCATTGTGTAACTACCCTTCCTTACTCACCAACAGCATCTTAAGACTGGAACTACTGGAGGATACTCCTTTGGAGGAATTCTCTGCTGAGTAAAGACATGTATTTCTGTACTTACTTGTCCGCTGACATGCATGACAGAGAGCGACGAGAACATTGCATCATCAGGCAACTTTCAGACTCATATCCTGGCCTCCTGGAATGACTCAAAGATGGGTCTGAGGAAGAAATCCTTCACGTTGGAGAGCTGGTGCATCTTTTTCTGTGTAGCCAAAGCTTATACTTATCATCTACAGATTGGTAAGGGAGCCGCAGGTGCCAGAGGCGACGACACAAAAACCTTGAAGTCTGTGGTGCTCAACTGGATTTTCCCAAAGGGGAAGCCATACAACCTCCCTTATATAGACACTCCAAGATTGATCGTGGTTTTAATCATGAACTCACCGGTTCTCTCCTCTGCCCCGCTGGGTTGGACTGGAATGACTCTCGGTATGATTCAATTTTAGGCATGTCTGCGGTCTTGAAGTGCTTTTTGCTTTTTTTGTAAATAGGACAAAAGAGGACCTACGAAGTGGTGAAATGCTAGTTTGTGGAGATCAATGGCCCATTTTTTTGTATGCCCTCCATACTTATGACCCCAAAGACCCGTGGTGTGGTCTTCTTAGGAGCCACTTGCTAGTGTGCATGAGTGCGCATTTGTATTTTCACATTATACATTCACTATAATGCATTCTACCAGGCTTACAAGCATGTTTTCATGTCCCCAAGTTCAGTCGAGAGGGAGCCGAAGGCCACACATTCAGGAAATGCTCGCCTCCATGGCATGAATGCTGTGACCATTGCTTCTGTGGCTTATATTGCAACTCAGGTCCGTTGACCATCACACTTCTATCACAGCATAGTTTTCATGTACAACTAAAGGTGCGATTTGCTCTCAGTTCATCCTCGGTATTCTCACGGACCGATACAACTATGGACTCTGAGATGTTTTACCACAGTCTCCTGGACCTCTTAGAAGACCCCGAGGAATGTCAAGAAGTCGATGAACTGCTGACCTGGTGGAATCGGTATGTTTTATCACCCTTCACCATGTTGCGAAAGGCTGATATTACTCAGCCAAGTGTTTCCCACTTCCTCTGCTGCGAAGAGACCTATCAGTGCCAATAGCGCCTTATCCAAGATTCGACAAAAACACCTTGCTCTCAGACAAGCTGCAGATTTGGATAATGGGTCTGTAGTTTTTATTTTGACATGTCGAATCATATTTAACATAAATGTAACTTAATGACAGTCTGCTTTACTTTTGTAACCTGACTAGTCCACTGAAGTGATTGTAGAACAACAAAGGTGCTACACCGCTGTAAAATATAGTTGGTCATCATGGCATGCCAGTCATCTGTCTTCTATGCAGCATATTGCTATGAGAATGAATGCCTTGCATGATAAGACCTAGAGCCAACATCATGCTCGCACTTGGTCGAATGAAAATAACAAGCTAGCATTATAAGCAATGACTATACTGTAACTGCATGCGGATGGAAGGAACAGTATCAACTCCTTGGTGCTCATGGCACAATGTAGCCTAGCATTTGAAGATTCTGTCCAGCGGAGTCGTTCAGGAAGAGTCTGGGAAAACCATAACGGTTCGCTTACCTTGCATATGAAAACCATACCTCATTGATAAGCTGACAAAGTATACCACACTGTCATGCGTCCGCACCTTGGGACTAAAATCAGCTCTCATCTGAACCAGTCTAGCCTTGGGAGACTTCAGCACTTAGAGAGATGTGGAGCATAGAATAACAAACAAGTTTATGTGCAGTTAGTAGATATCATTAAGGTTGGGCAGTATATTAATGCACTGTCGCTCGTTGCCCAAATTGTGCACCTAGTAGATTGGAGCATCACCGGCTACCCTCACAACCACATACTCAAAGTCAGCGCAGAGGGAGTTTTTGTTGATGGCACAATGACAAGCTCGAGTTGCCAACAATAATCACATTGATAGAGCTTGAGATTGCATTGCGAATACATGACACCCTTGAACTGTAGGCAGTGACAGTCCAAAGGAGTCCGGCCATATAAAGCTTTTTCTGATGCTAGCATCAGTTTAGATATTGTGGAGTATAAAAGGACAAACTAATTTTGCATACTCGTATTGTATCTTGCCGAGGTTGAGCAGGATGGTAAAGTACTGCCCAAATTGGGCACTTGGCAATCACCAGCTAGCATCATGACCACCGGCCCAAAGTTAGTGTTTTGCCGACAGCACAATGACAACCTCTGATTACAAAAGACATTCATAATTACACAACTTGGTACTGTGTTATGGTTGCTCGGCCCTCCTGGGTTGTAGGCAGTGTTGGTCCGATGAAGTCCAGCCATATCAAGCTTTTTCTAATGCTGAGCATCAGTGCATTTGATTGTGAAGAAAGTACAAACAATCAGAGATTATAATATTGTCATGATTGTGCAGAAATGTGCTGTGTAAAAATGATATACTGACCTCAGGATCATACATATGCCTCTTCTGTGCGATGCACTAAGGGCCGATAGATTAGCACAATATCAATTGATATAATGGCATGCCTAGGATGCCATGGTAGGACATGGTACATTATTTACAGTTCTTGACCGGTGTCCCTCCAGTTCTCTCTAGGGTGCGGTGAAAAATTCAATAATTTTTAACAGCAGTTAATTAACTGAGTTATTAACCGGGTTATTAACTGTAAATAATTCAACGCTGGAGGGACACCGGTCAAGAACTGTAAATAATGTACCATGTCCTACCATGGCATCCTAGGCATGCCATTATATCAATTGATATTGTGCTAATCTATCGGCCCTTAGTGCATCGCACAGAAGAGGCATATGTATGATCCTGAGGTCAGTATATCATTTTTACACAGCACATTTCTAACACCTTGAATTTACAGAAATTCTGCTTGCGCGAGCAACCCACGTTGGACTTCTTTGATGTTGAGCAGGTCGTTTTCGGCAAAGGAAAGAGCACTGCTTCACGGACGCACAGTATCACAGGAAGTTCGTTGATTATCGAACACGGTGATGAACACAAGGAGATACTTGATGAAGATACTCATACCTGGCTCGATGACAAAATTGAAAACATGCCTGGTGATTCCACTTTCGATGCTGAGGAAGACATTGACTTGGACGTGCCGGAACTCACAAAATTCTCGCTGATGATCCACCCCAAGGGAGTGTGTTGAAAGGTAAGAAGAGAGAGCAAATGGTGGCTTGCATTGATGACGCCGGCAATGCTGATGGTGAATGGGTCTGGAAGTGAAATCATTGCCCAGCACACGGAATTTTTTCCATCAAGAATAGTTAATAACACCTGTTTTCGACCAGTTAATATTAATTATAGCTTGGACGAAAAAAATCACGTGCCGACTGTCAATATGTGTTAAAAATGTCAGTTAATAATTAACTGCCATCTCCTGGGTTAATAACCCAGTTAATAACTGGCTGGATAATTTTTCACCGCACCCTAGTTCTCTCATCAGTCTGTGTCTGAAGACTATTCAAGGTGTTTTGGACACTTTTCACGAAAGTCAAAATAACATCACAGGAAATAAATATTTTTTTCCATCATATTGTAGCCAAAGGTATCTGGAATGCATTCTTGCATGCTAATAGGCTCTAATGTGCAGTATGTTTGTGAAATAACCTGTACGCGGAGGTGACACAAAATGTGGCTGGATTTGGATGTTGTCAGACTACCTTATTTGCCATGCCTAGAAAGGGCTTGCCAGCTGGCTGCGCCACTTCTGCTGATGGTCCATCGTTCAAGATAAGGCGGGCACATCAGCAAACTACTGGGTACCTGTACAGACTTGTACAAGCTTGTACAAGCTTGTACAGACTCACAGAACCCACTGCTAAGTCCCCCCTTTTCAGGTTTGTACAATAGGCCTACAAACTGTACAGTTATTTGCAATATGGACAAATAAACAAGGATGTACAATTTAAACATGTTGCGCACACTGTGCAGAAAGCACATTTTGTATGAATGGTATGAATGATATAAATGGTATTAGTTGTACTGCAGGAACATGCTATACAGGCAAGCACACAAAAACTGTGCAAATGACATCACAATTGTCAAACTAAACTAAACATCAAGCATTGAACAGCGCATTAAAGTATGATATTGATGTCCCCGCGTCACTGCCTGCATCACTCCCATCCAAATGCCAATCAGATCCGCCCATACCAATCTTAGCCCATTGTGCTAACATCTCTTCAAGCTCTTCACGACGTTCCGGAATGTCGAGCAACTTGTTGACGGATTTCTGTAACCTGACGAAGTCGGTCCTGCATCTATCAGCAGAGAGTTCGGAAACCTTGTCAGAGCCTGTTTCGCTGAACCCAGAAATACACCCTTCACCTATTCAATCATTAGTGACAAGAAATAAAATAAAATAAAATATATAGCATACAACCACCACTGCGAGAATGAGGCCGTTGACAGGAAGTGTCCGGTGGAAGTCATCCGTGTTCTTCAGCGCTTTCTTGCTGTTGCTGTAGAAAAACTCGATACAAATGTCCTTGAGAGCCTGTGATACAAAATTCTTAAATTTGCCCTGCAAGAGAAAACAGTGAGTAGCGCTAGTGACACGAGTCATCACCTACATTAGATGAGTCAGGAATCCGAAGGTAATCACCAGTCTTGATCAGCCTGGAAGCAGTTGCAACAACACGTTTCTTGATCTCCTCTGATCGCATCACGGCGCCCTTCGGGAAAATATCATACGACTGTTTGGTAATGGAGATGGCAGTCTTTTTAAGCTCTGTATGGAATGTGAAGAGATCGTCGCAGAGCTCATCAGCATGTCAGTGAGCGCGTTCACCATTAATAAATGAAAGACTCACCAGCCGACACATCTGTGGGTTGTACTCTGGAAAGTAGCCTTGCAATAAGATGTGAGATGATTGGGAGAAAGCGGCAGTAGTACAGGGAGAACTCACCATGCACAAACTTAAGCTTCTTCTGGTGACTTGCCCACAATTCAGCATCAAGGACTTCTTGCGCAAGTTTCAAGGCATCCTGGTGTTCTGGAATTGGATGGGAGAGAACAGCTTGCAATCACATCTGTAACTTTGCTGCCTGCAGAAATGCCTGCCAACAAGGCGGATAAAACCCAAGCTTGGAAGGATTGTCTTGGTTTGTCTTGATGTTTTGTGTGCGGCGAGCATCAGTGGGTGTAGCACTACGAGAGCGTGAACGACTAGGAGTCATTGCATGATCAGAGCGAGTCCGCGATGGAGAGTGTCTATGGGAAGAGGGTTGCGTACGACCACGAGAGGAAGTGTTTGGGGAGCGCCGATGTTGAGTATGCAAAGAAGCCTGTGTTGATATTATGTGCCGATAAGAGCTTTGGCGTTGAGACCTGGAGCCAGTAGAAGAATTATGCGAGGAAGGTGGCACTCGAACGGAGGAGGCACCCACAGATGGCACACGTTGGCGAGATCCCAAGCGATCATGATGTTGAGATAGGCGTGAATGAGGAGATCTCGAATTGTCATGATGTTGAGATAGGTGTGAATGAGGAGATCTCGAATTGTTGTAATGTTGAGATGGGCGTTGGCGAGGAGACATAGAGCGAGTGGAGGCACGTGCGCGTGCTTTTCCTGTTGCTTTTGAAAGATATGAAGGTGAGGGAGCCTTGCATCGTCCATTCTGTGCTTGGTGACATTCGAGAACATCATAAGTCTCCTGCACACAAAATCAATGAGTGAATACATTATCTTATGGCCATCTTTGAATGAAGCATCTGAGCGTCGATCAAAATTCTCGCTGTTGATATGCTGATCTTGCTTGGCTTCGTCCCTGTAATGAATGCATTAAGAAGCTGAATGCGAAAAAAGGTTAGCACTTGCGTATCATTGTGCTCATGAAGGCCAGTATTGTCGTCGTTGTCGTCCTTATCTTCGTTGTCGTTGTCATCTCGTTCATCTTCCTCCTGTGCAGCCATTCTGCGGCTAGTGGACTGAGGCACTTTCTTGATGCACTGCGTGGTAGTAGATATGGGTGCCTTAAACCCGAACCTGTCAGAAGAGCAAGCAGTACGTAGCACTGGATGGGGAGAAGTGTACAATGGGCGATTTCTCACATTGTTGCCGAGCTCTTGAGATGATAACTCGAGATCATTGCTTGTAGTTGGAGGTGTCGCAGAAGCAGGTTTGCGCCTGGCACCATTGCCTACAGCGCGAGGTTTTGCAGGAGCCTGACAAGGTCATATTAGTTCGAAGATCGTCAAAATACTAAGATGAACTTACAATTTTCTTCCCCCCACGCATCTGAGAAGGAGCCATCGAGTTTTCTTCGGGATCACTGGCGTCAAGGTCAAGGTAATCATTTTTCCGACAACTTCTTGCTGGTGCTGCTATCGCTTCTCCAGCTTTTTGAAGCTGTGCTGCGTGGCTGCCAACACCGCGATTATTTCTTGAGCTTTGTCGACAAGGTGCCGTGTCACCATCTTTGGTGTTGACCGTAGAATGTTTAGCCCTCTTCTTGGGAGGCATTGAGCAAGATCGTCAGCTGCTGTGACTGCGACAAGGCTGGGATGAACGTTGCAGGTCGGTTAGTTAGCAGTTTCATACATAAGCCGATATTATGTAATCATATGGTATATGTATGCATATCGAAGACAAATGAGATTCACAGCAGACTGAGAAAAAAAGGTACGAGCAAGGTCGCAAAGGCAAAACAAGTGGGCTTGAGAAGGAAAAAAAATAGTTATGGAACTAATCATGCCAGCATTGGATGAGACCTCTCATGTCCTCCGAGTAGTAGTAGACATAAGTCGCTGAGAACGGCGTGGACCTGGCTGATTAGTCGAAGGCCAAGTTGTGCCAGTATGTGGAAGGGTCGAAGGACCTGCGGTGGGTTGAGGAATATGAGACTGGGAACGAGGATGGGGCTGCACTGGGATTGGGATAGGGATAGGGGTAGGGATAGGTGTTTCGTCCTCGAGTTTCGCGATAAAAGTCACAAGTATCTGGAGGATGTGATCATGAATGATTGTTTTTTCGGTGTTGATTTCCGTGAGGTGAATCTGAGAGCGCCATTCGTTGACTAGGGGTTTGAATTCCGAAAAATATTCAGAAACCCTGTCCATTAAAAAGTCGTCTTCGGATATGGCCCCATTCTTTGATAAGAATGTGGTAAGCAAGCCACTGACACCTAAGTTTTCATAGGCCTCTGACCATGGCATCGCCAGCTTATCCCATGTCGGTGCAACCAAACCATGCGCCCCCCCATACTTCGAAACAAATTCGCAAAAAATGTAGAACATGGACTTGAGGTCATCATGTGCGTAATGCTCAATTGGCTGCAATTGAGGAGTAGTGTCAGCAGCAGTCTTTTTGACGGTCTCCGCATTCTTTGACATCATCTTAAGGACGCGCATGGAGATGTATGAGATAGTGCCCTAGACAATTAGGTCAAAAGCAAGAATAATAAACTAGAAATTCAACTTACAGTACCAAATGAAACTGTACATGCCTTGCCTTCCTCTATAAATCCGGCATGATCAAAATCAATAAAGTAGCCAATGCCCTCATGAATGATGAAATTGTTTGGGCTGAGGTCCCCATGTAGAACTCCACATTCAATCATGAGTCTATGGGCTAACAACGCATCATTAAGCTTGAATTTGATGCATTGAGCTAGTAAACTCACCAATGACAAAGTCACGAAAAGCACATATCAGCTCCTTCCTAGAGCCAAAGTCTGACAGTGGGTCTCCACAAGGGGTCATGACAAGCCGCCGGTGAAATCGATTGCAGAATCTGTGATCACCTCTATCGTCTGGGTCAGACTGCTGATAGTGTTCATGAATATGCACTGTACAGTCAGGCTGCCCGTCATACATGACATCCCAATGATCCACGAGTTGAACGACATTCGGGATGCCCTTGACTTGTTCGAGAACATTCACTTTGTGATATCTCTTTGCTTCAGGCACCCAACAGTCCTTCATCGCATAGTCCTTCCCGTCATCAGGATCTCTGATGTGGTAACAAACTGTTCCGCGACAGAAGAAACCCTGACTCTTCCATAAAACATCCATGATCGAGTAAGTTTTACCGCTGTTGTTGACTACCCATCCTTTTTCCCCAACAGCCAGAGAGGAGTGAGTACCCTGGCAGTTAGCAATGCACATATGGATGGTGGGGTCAAGGCCCAAGTGTTGCGGATCCGCTAATGCAGTTGAGGCAATTGCCTCGGTGACACATATTGGAAATTTATGGATGGGGGTTGGAAGGGATAGGATGAGACCTGAGCGGTCAAAATAATGGGCGTGAAGGTCATCAGCACAGATGGAGTAGGCAAGAATGAAGCAACGCCAGGGTTGCTCTCGCATGATAAGGTATGCTTTGGTGGCAGATCCCCAGTACACCGCTAAATCATGAGATAGAGATAAATTACTGGAGGTGTGCTCCACAATGTTCAAGACGTCAACCCATCTTTTTTCCCGAGATTTGTTCTTGTAATAGAACAGGGCTACATCGGGCTTCTGCGTATTGTACAGGTCTGGTATAGGTGAGTTCGCAAACTCTGCAGACCAGTACCGCTCGATGGGTGAGATAGGGAGGGAAAGTTTTGGTGCGTATCCGCTTCGGTTGCGCAGGGCCCACTGAACAGCATGGAACAAGTATTGTAAGTCCCTCTCTGTTGAACGCTTCTTTCATTTCCTCTTCGATCCTGCATTTACGCTGCCATTGAATTCATCATCACTCCCAAGGCGATCGGTCCCTTGGGAGAAGATGGTCGAGGCATGGGAATCCAAGGCCTTGAGTTCTGCTCTTGAGTCATCGGTGATGTCTGTCTCGGTGGCGTCATTCTCTGAGTCCCTCATCTTGCTCTTTTTCCTGCGGTTAAAATTCCACTTTCCTTGTGCATATACTGGGGCTCCATCCTTCTTGTGGTACCTGATCTTTTGGATGTGCCGAATTTGAAGCTCGGATATGGGGATGAGCGCACGGAAAATGGAATTGGTGAATTTCATGTTGCTAAGGCCAGACTCATCAATCACATGGCCATCAAGCTCTGATTTTAGAAGACCCTTGACAGTATTAACCGTGCGTCCACCCAAAGGTGGGAAGCCTGCAGAGCTAAGTGATGCTCCACACAGGTAGAGGTCGAATGATGTGGCACCAGTAAGTTCGAGTGATGAAGTTGTCGTCATTGGTGTTTGACCAGGTGAGTCTGAACTGGACTACAAGCTGCAGAATGGTGTCTGGTAGGAAATTTACCAGCACGATGTGAATATTTGAGACTTTTTCTTGGTGGAGCCAGCCAGTGTGTGCAGTTTGTACAAAGATGCACAGCTTGCTGGTTGTTGTCGGCCTTGTTGGAATTCACACCTCGTGTCAGCCTTGTCGGGACTCATGTGTTCTATTTCACCTGATGATCCGATTTCACCAAGTAGAATACATAAACTCTGTCTAAGGTATCTATTCTTGCGAGAGGGCAGCATATATCTGTTTTTCAAAGTACTTGTTCAAGAAAAAAGATGAATGATAATGAGTAGAATTTGCCTTGGTCAACCGCATGTCTGCTGGATGACCTAGTTGGGGAATGAGATGAATAAATGCACGAAGTTGGCTGAGGGGAACTATGTCACCCACTGGCGCGCCGTTCACATATTTAGCATGTTTCAATACATGCATCCCAGTGACCGGATCAACTGCACCCGTTTTGAAGCTACGGACATAGCACAGATATTGATCTCGCCATGTGAGTCGTGAACCTTGCCATGGAACTGGGCACATTATGAGCTGCAATTCACAGACATGGTGCCCTTCAAAAAGGGGGGCAGCATTATTAATAAGTGAGATCAGTACCAATATCAACAAGCTCACCCGTCAACCCCGACTTAGGCCACTCATAGGCTCGATCAATATTGACGAGGACAGCATCCCATCGGCCTTTTGGCCACCCACTGGCAGGAGATGGAGGGGAGGCATGCACAGTCTGTGCAGGTAGGACAACACTGGCATCGTAGAAAGAAACTTGCTGCAAACGAACGGTATGCCATATCTGGATACGTTCGAAAGGAAGAACTGAGGGACGGTCAATTAGCTGTCTCCTTGCAACCCCCAACCCATGACCTGCTGCTCCGTTTGAGCCCCTTCAGTGACAAATTCTGTATTATACGGGCCACCCGACCTCCATAATATCCTGTATGAGACGGGCCAGCTGATCATGGGCCCATGTTGTGTATATTCTCGATGATGACGGATGGGCCGGGACTCATATTATTTCTGATGGAGACGGGTGGGCCCATGTATGCCAATGATATATATATCCTTAATGTTGACGGATGGGCCGGGGGAATATGATCATTCATGGAGATGGGTGGGCCCATCTGGGTAATATGTAGAGTAGGATATTATAGACAGCTGGGCTGAAGAGAGATGTAAGGCAAATATTGTTATATAGACGGGCGGGCCGACGTGGGTGTATTACATATATGGGTGGGCCGAGGTAGGGGAATATTACATAGACGGGTGGGCTGACGTAGGGTGTATTACATATACAGGTGGGCCGACGTGGAATGTATTACATATACGGGTGGGCCGACGAAAGAGATATCAAATAGACCGGTGGGCCGAGGGTGCTATAAAATATTTATTACATAGACAGGTGGGCCGAGGTGGGGTATAATTATATAGACGGGTGGGCCGATGTAGGATGTATTATATAGACAGGTGGGCCAACATAGGATGTATCACATAGACGGGTCGGCCGACGTGGGGGATAATACATAGACGGGCGGGCCGACGGGGGTGTATTACATATATGGGTGAGCCTAGATATGTTCCATCAAGACATACAGCTGATGTAGCCACCAGCGAATCAAACACATAGGATACATGTACACTATGAGTGCATATACCTACCATCGACCACCAAATCTAAACCCCTAAGCACAAAAACATGAATCTATCATGTGTGGCATTGACCAATAATCGAGGACTGAAGTGGAAAAACCCCACACCTGAACCCTGGTGTGCAACAAATCCTATTTCTAAGCATGGACACCAGAAGCACAACACTCACAAAAATATATATGTCAAATTTTCAGTGCCAAACCCCAAACCGAGATGTACCAACCCCCGAACCCCGAAACCCGAGAGTGCCGGGTCTCGGGTCTCGGGTGTCCGGAACTCGGAACTTGGGAGAATATGGGGAGATCAATACAATTTAATTTACAATCGAGTTGATTGACAACACATTGACTTACCCATGTTTTGCAATATATTTTCACATACTACAGTGACATATCTCCGTATAATACGAGGGAACGGACGTGCATAATATCCCGTATGATACGGGCCAGCGGACCATGGGCCCATGATAAAAATATTCTCGACTATGACGGATGGGCCGGGAGGCAAATTATTCCCGATGGAGGCGGGTGGGCCCATGCAGGGAATATATAGAGTAGATGAGTGGGCCGATGTAAATGAATATTAGGTAGACGGGTGGGCCGAGGTAGCTGGATATTATGCAGATGGGTGTATTAAGGTAGATGTGTATGAGATAGATGGGTAGGTACTTGTTATCACATTCACGGGTGGGCCCAGACACATATTAAATTAGACGGGTGGGCCGAGGGTATTATAAAATATTGTATTATACGGGTGGGCCCAGACACATATTAATTAGACCGGTGGGCCGAGGGT